AAGTAAATAAATAACCCTTTAACTTTGAGTTGAAATCTGAACAGTATATGCTTGGAATATCCCACATTTCTCCAAGGACAGTGAATTCTTTTTTGACATCAAGGTGGAAAATGACTTTCATCATATAGAAATCAGGTTATATACTGACAGATATGCTTATTTTATATAATTTATTTAATTTCAACAGAACCAGTTGTTGTAGATGTTACCACATGAAGTATATTTTCTAAGTTGAACTGACAAAACATTTGTCAGTGTTTTTTGTGATTTTTATGTACACTATTATCAAGAAACATTCAAGAACAGTGTGATGAAGAACACACATGAGCCCGAGACACTATCTAAAGACTACATTTGTCTAATTTAAATGTAGTTAATCTAAAGACTAATTCTAGATAAGTATATCCTTTTACAAGTAAAAAACATACAGTAACATATCTGAATACAAACATATTGAAAAAGTACATTTATACATTTAAGGACATTTCAATTTAAGTAAACCTCTAAAAATACCTGAAGACACAACTCTCCCACAAACACAACCAAAGATGTTTAGCAAAACAAAACTCTTCTCTCTATTAAGTTTTTGCACTTTCACTTTTGCTCTTACTTCTGTGCTAAATTTCAGCTTTAAAGGAATTTTCTGCTTACTGCACTTTTCATCTTTTCCTTCATCCTGAGTTACTCTTGTGTTCAAGCTCCAGTTGTGTTCTCTGCATTCATTATTTTGATTATTTTTGTGTGTGTGTGTGTGTGTGTGTGTGTGTGTGTGTGTGTGTGTGTGTGTGTGTGTGTGTGTGTGTGTGTGTGTGTGTGTGTGTGTGTGTGTGTGTTCTTTGCTGCTAACTCTTAACAATAAGTGGTTTCATTTCACTCTTGCCTCTAACAAGAATGAAAACTTTCAGTCAAACTCAAAAACTCCCTGCAGACTCAAACTACTGTGTTTGTGTATTGAACATTCACCCACATATTATCAGCTTCAAAAGCCAACAAGAGGAATCTGTGATCACTCAAATAAACTCAAACACACATAAACAGGCCAAACTGGAGCTTTGTATTGATGATGCAGGAACAGCAGAAAGTGTCTGAATCTGATGTTTCTGTTCCTCTCTGATCACTTCAGTCTGATAAACCTGCTCTCTGCTGCCCCTGCTGGACTGGAGCAAATACAGCCATGATATAAAGCAGAAATACAAGAATTCAAAAATACAGTTTACTATAATAATAATAATAATAATGGTTGTTAATCATTTTATTCAAAGTGAAAGCAATATAACTCAAAAGCAGTTTCTCAGACACTCAATATCAGAATAATAGTCATGACCACATCAGAGGTTTGGTGTCGCAGATCACCCTCATTCACATCGTGAGAAACTGGAAGTTTGTCAGTCTATTATAGTTTATTATAATTTTACATTTCCCTTCTAACAAATGTATATGAAGATCAGATGGCAGTTTTTTAAAAGACAGAAACCTCATTCAGAAATACATTCATTATAAGAATGATTCACTAAAATAATAGAAGCAAAAGCACAACAAGACTGGATGAAACTTATTTCTCACAAATGCATTTCTTCCCCATAAAGCACGGCGCATCATTCCAGTTGTTCACAGGGTCTCTTCCAGGATCCACTTCAATACAGTCCTCATCTCCAAGGTTATTTGGCTCACCTCTGTCAAAAAACCTGAATAAAATGTGTCAGATTTTCAGTTATTATACCCCAGATGTTCAATTAAAGTTTTTATCCATTCAGCGAAAAACAAATGAGGAGCTTAAGAAGCCACTCATCATAAAAGAGCCAACAATATTCACAGCTAACAGGGAACAATCTCATAACATTTGCTAACGCACTGGCAAAGTTCGCTTAAAGCTATGAACAAACATTCTTCCAGTAATGCTAATAGAGTTTTTCTTCAACAAATACCTGCAATTGCTTAAAGACAGTTACTAGGGTATATTTGATATGTTTTATGTGTGTCTGGTGGCCTACGTCCGATTGCAAGATCTTGGAATGTTTCCTTTAGAATGTAGTTCTAAAGGAACCACAAATGCCTATAATATGCATTTTAATGTAACTTTGCGATATCATCCTCCTTACATGTCTTTCCTCCTACCTTCAGAACCCTCTTGATCTGGCCAAACCAGATATGTACAGAAATATACCGTAAAATGTATTTTACTATGATGTACCATCTTTTGGAATGATTCTGACCAAAACTAACATCACAAAGGAGCCAACATTGGTCGTTCTGCACTGTAAACCCTAATGTTGTCTTTACTTAAACAATCAAGTGTACTAGACTAAACATTACTTTAAATTTAGCATGTTGGCCCTGTCACTCAAAAATATAAGTTCAAATAACTTATTTACCTTCAAAATACATAAACTTAAGATTTCAAGTGCTGTGAGCTCAAAATCATGATTAATCCTTACAAAAGGTCATTTTCACAAATGTTGTTTTCTTGACTGTGAAATGAATACATTCATACATGCTTTCTTCAAGTGCAAGGTGTCATTCTGATTTTACCAGAAAACAAATGGCTTTCATTATATTACAATTATTGATCGTAATGGAAATAAACAGATTTTTTTTTTTATCTGATACTTTAAACTTGATAAATAAACTTTAATACCCATATACAAGTGTTTTTGTAATACACAGCACAATCCCCAGTGTTAAATTTACACTGCTCAGTGTTTATATGAGTCCACGCTCAAGAGTGTTATAAGTAACACCGAACCAGTGTTAAAGTTAATGAGATAATTAAGTGATTAATTGAGTGATGATTGAGCATCATTTGTACAAGTTTAGCCAATATACTATCACTGTGCTGAGAAGCGCACAGCTATTACTTCTAAAATACAGTAATTTTAGTATTGACGATATTTGGCCAATCATCAACCGAACCACAAGCTCTATCCCAAAAACTCAGACATACCAGAAAAACTTTTTAATAAAAAAATAATAGAACATTAAACACTAATATATGTCCCCAATTGAAATTGTACTTTGAAGACAATCTTTATTGTAAATCTGAGTCAGTAATGTTAGATTGTGTGTGTGTATTTGTATTGTTTGTACTCTGTAACTACATGAAACATGAGGGTAACAAGCACCACTTTAATTTAAAGCCTGCAGATGTCACATTATGTTTAGTTACTTTCATTTAGTGATGGTAGTCTGCTTTCAAACGTGCTTCAAACCATTAACTGAAGATACAAGAAGACAGTAACTTCTGAAGACGTCTGACAGAAATAAAGTCAGTCTGATTCGTTCAACGACTCATTTTTCCAAACCCCTCCTTTGTGTGACGCTAATTTGCGATGATCGGTCAGATGACCCAGTCAGTTGTGATTGCTATACTCATTGATTTATGTTAGCGATCATAGCCCAAAGTTCGGTGGTAAACACCCAATCAGTTATTGTTCGCGTTAGCCCAACGCACAAACATATTGATAAAGCACTGCAGTACTACAAGGTATTGCTCTATTCTTTATGACAACTCCAACTACGACAAACATTTCACATATTTCAACAAAAATGACATTGAAGACCTTGAAGCTGTGCTGAGCGTAACTTACACAACACACACAAATACTTATTGAGCATGCTACAAAACACATAAAAGCAACAATTATTAATAATACTTACAGGTTGTGATTCGGAGGAAGCTGATCCAAATAAACTTGGTACTGAACCTTCCTTCAGTATTAACCGGCTCGGGAATCCACACTTGAAAGCATTTATGTTTGTAAAGCAATTGTCATTAAAATGACGCGAACACAGCACTAGGTTCGGGCTACTTGTGTGGTATAGTTGTAGATATAAACTCTAGCCACTGATTCTTCACATGCTCGTCTCTGGGCAGTGAAAAAAAGGTCGCTTTTGATTCGCACTTCAGAACACAGTGTCTTGTTGTCGACATGATGTTTTTAAGTTTGTCTGCGCGCAATGAGTGGGCCGGCCAATTTGATCATGTTTCGTCTTGACGTCACAACGAAAAGGAAAATGACTCATTGGAAAAAAAACGATTCATTAAATTGATTCCGAGACGATTTATTTGAGAGACAATAACTTTTTTTACGGTGAACTTTCATATATAAAACTTTGCAGGATGTTTTTGTTCACTTAGATCTATGTTACACACTACATGAAAGGTAATTTTCAAAATTCCATAATAGCGGCCATTTAATGTCTTCTAAATATTCTGGCCGATTTTTCTCCTTCTGATGATCCTAAGTGAAGTCCCGATTATCTTGATGACAGATTATCAGATTTTCTCGTGGTGTGGGGTGTGTTAAACGTGACCGGATCTCAACATGTTGAATATTTATAATCAGAAATCCTGATGTGTGGGGGCAAAACATGAAAATACATTAAAATGTATGCATTCAAATACTGATAAGAATATTTTTGCTTTCTAAACTTGTGCCTAAAACTGAAGACCAAAAATACTGAAAAAGAGTATTATATATGTAAGATTACACAATTAAACATACATTACATCAGTCTATAGCACACAATAGCATTTTCTCACAAAGGGTCAAAGGGAACAAATGAGGGTCAATCCCTGTCAATCATATGTGGCTCCGCCCACAGAGCCCAGGATTGGTTCTTTATACAAGAGCTGTATATGTGTCTTCATTGGGTTCAGAGATCTATAGGAGAGATAGAAGGATTTACATCAGAAAATAGAGAAGTCAATATAAGCTAAATGTATAGCATACTATTTTTTTTTAATCGACTCATTTGAGTCATTTGTTTCTGAATCGGACTGTTTGTTCCTGCATGCAGATCATGAAGACACATGATTACAGATAACAGATGATCGATTGATTTTCTGCTTTTTTAAAGTCATGTTGTGTTTGGATGATTTACCTCTTTCACTGTGATATTTTCATTTTTAACACTGCTTCGTTTCTTTCTGAAAAAATGACAGAAATTAAAAGCACATGGGCGACTATATTAATATTATCAAAGTTGTTTGTGGTTCTCACATTATAAACAGGATGATGATGATAATGATGATGACGAGGATGAATATTGCTCCACATTCCACTGTGATCCCAAAAACTTGATGCCATCTAGATCTGTGATGCACTGAAAGAGAGAAACATTATCAGCTCAGATTAACAGTCCAGACTTAAAGTTATATGGGTTTGCTCTTACAAAGCTTTACCTGTGACGGTTACAGCGTCTGATCTCTGAGATCCATGTTGATTGTGAGCCTGACAGTAGAAGCGTCCACTCTGTAGTGCACTGAAACTCTGTCCAGATCCAACAGCTGAGGTTTCATTCTCCTTAAACCAGCTGAAGTTCAGAGCAGGAGGGTTTGAGTCACTGATGCAGTTCAGAGTCACTGAATCTCCCTCCACTATTACACCAGATCCACGCATCCACACTGAGACGCTCCTGGGTGGATCTAAAGACAAAAATTCAAATTCAATGAATATTCGAAAATGATGAATTTGGATGTGAATACTATGCTGGTGATCATTAACTCACACATGACGTTTAAAGTCACAGCTTTAGAGTATTTCTCTCCATGTTCATTGATGGACTTGCACTTGTATTCTCCACTGTCATCAGAGCTGATCTTTGAGATGTTGAAGATTCTTCCAGATCCTACAATCGTTCCTCCTTTAAACCAGCTGAAGTTCAGAGCAGGAGGGTTTGAGTCACTGATGCAGTTCAGAGTCACTGAATCTCCCTCCACTATTACACCAGATGGACTGATGGACACTGAGACGCTCTTTGGAGGGTCTAAAAGGGCCAAAAATTAAAACCTCAAATCATCTCATTCAAACTCAATCTCCAGTTTTTTAAAAGACTAAGTTAATCTGCACTCACACGTGACATTGAGCTGAACCTCAGGAGAGACGTGAGTGTGTCCGTCTACAGCACAGCTATATCTGCCTGAATCCTCTCTTCTGACTGGATCGAGGGAGAGTTTGTTACTGAATTTAATCTCAGTTAATATCTTCAGTGAGTTTCTGTACCAGATGAATGTTGCTCTGTCAGTCAGAGCGCAGCTGCTTTTACATGTCAGACTGACTGAATCTCCCTCTGTCACTCTCTCAGGAGACTCCACCTGAAGATCTGAACACAACACACACATTATATCTAGTGCTGCTGTCATACACTGATTATTATTCAACATAATGCACAGAAGAAGAGATAAACCTCACCAAAGTCATCTGTGAGAGTAAGAGTCACTCCTGATTTACCAATCCAATTTTCTTTATCAGTGATGAATCTGAAATAGTACATGTGTGAATCCTTCAGTGTCACATGACTCAGTCTGACGGTGCAGTTCTGCTGTTTATCTCCCAGATACTGAAGCCTCTGACTGTATTCAGTGTCATTAGACAGATCTGGAGGCTCAGGATGTGTTACCGGCGTTTTGGTCCAGAGCACTTCCTTGATCTGATGTCCAGTAGGGTATGTATAAGTGCATCTCATTATCACTGTTGAGTCGTTTAGTGCACAGATGTGTGAAGGACTGTAACTCACACCCCAATCATCACTAGAAACCCCTGAAACAGAAATCATCTAGATGAAAATGTTGTTTTATCAGTCACCTTGATCTTGTGGAAAAGGCGGTTTTATTTACTATATAAACACATATCCACAAAATACTAAAATGAAAGTGAAATGAACATAAAAATGAAGTGCAGTCAGAACTCAACCGAAATTCTCCAGTTGTGGTCAGAGCTGATGTACAGTTTAATTATTACCCCTACAGTGTTAGAATCAGTATTTCATCACTACGACCCCCTGACACAGATTCATAATAAAGACATTAGCAGTCGCTTCTACAATTACTGAAATAAGTCTACTGACTAAAGTAAGAAGATGAGCGGAGGGAGATGAAGAAGAAGAGCAAAAATGAGATTTGCCATGAGGGATGCTGTACATCCTTACTGAACAAAAATATATTTATGGTTTATATTATATTATATAAAAGTGTATCCTCATTGGACATGGACTCCAACATCGTTCAGATGTCAAATTTTGTTTGAAAATTACAATCGGGTTGACGTGTAAACATCTGATGTTAGGCTCCAACTGGTAACTACGGTGACCGGGAGGGGACATGTTCGGTTCACTTATTTATGTCGTGGCCACAACATATAAACTCGTGGGAACGTGATATTATGACGTTCCCACGTGATAATATCTCGTGGGAACGTCATATTAAGTCGTGGGAACGTGATATTAAGTCGTGGGAACGTGATAATATCTCGTGGGAACGTCATATTAAGTCGTGGGAACGTGATTATAAGTCGTGGTCACGAGATCATTTTGTTGAGGTAACGATATATTTTTCTTGTGGCCACGACTTAATGTTTCATCCGTTTCTTGTGGCAACGAGTTTTATTAGGTTACATGTGGGAATAATTGAATCTTCACACGCGACGTGCACTGTCTCGTCTCCTCCTTTTACCCCATCATTTGCTTTGTTATTTGTTCATTTAAGTTTATCATAATTTGTTTTTGTTCATTGCCTTAAACGGGACTTTATTCGTGACCTGACCTGGATTCGCACGGCCTTTTGGATTTTTTAAGCCATCGCAACATAGAGGAGGACTACATTACCAAAATTGAACGAGACAAGGTAAAGATTTGTAATTTGATTGTTTCTAAATATGTAAATTTACAATGTAAGGAGTCAGTTTTATTCGGTATGTATGTTGAGTTTGATAAATAGCTGCACAATAATCGTTATGTCCCATTGTGACTTTGTCAAAGATTTGATAGAAAGGCGAATTTCAAAACTCATTATTTCTATCATTATTTTTGTCTTACAATAATTGAAATTGTCAGTGAAATACGGGGATAAAAGTTTATAGTTCAGATATAACAATGATGTCTTGTCTACAGTAGCGATTAAAATAGAGTAAATCACCATTTAAAAGTAACTTCTTCAAATAAAGATTGTAGCTATCAATAACGACACAAGGTGGCGAAAAGTGACTGTTAAATCTTTCATTCAAGAGATTTGTTCAAAAAACGCTGTTTCATCCAGTAAAGAAACAAGTGTAGTCTTTATGAGCGAGTCATTGAATCATTCATTCAAACAGATTTAAAAAAAAAAAATTAAAATGATAATTCATTTTTTAAAATAGACTGCAGAAATTATAATTTGATCAAAACCTCTAGTAATTATGTTTAGCTAATTATTGTTCAGAATCATGAGAGAATCGTCATCTCAACCCCCCCCCCCAATTTTTTTTTAATTTAATTTATCTAGAATACAAAGTGTCATGCCATTCATAATTTAAAGGGGATCAGAATAAAACATTAAGATTTAAAATAAATCTTGTAAATAAAACATTATTAAACACAATTTAATTACTTTTAGTTGCTTTTTGTATTACCTGAAGGCCACATGCAAACATTTAGTAAATATCGTGTTATTGCTAAGTCTAAATAACTGTAAGTTTGAAAATAAAGAAGGGGAGAAAATATATTTTAGTGTACAATTTCGAAGTACCCCATTTTTTGTTATAATATAATCAGATTTTAAAATTATAATAAAGTATTATCTTTTAATTTAATAATTTATACACTGAATATATTGTGAATGTGTAGAAATGCAAAAGTTTAAGGCAAACTTTGTAATATTGAACTTCAACTATTTATTTCAACAGATTGATGCATCTGTAATACCACTGATGTCAGAGACAGAGCTAGCCAAATATATTCCCTGTTATGGGGACAGAGTGACAACTGTGGCATTTTGTCGAAGAAAACAGTGTTCCATAGAAAATAATGCCAGGAAAAGTAACTTGTTTGAGAGATTTAAAAAACGAGTATGTACCCCAAGTGGCATAGAAGAACATCGACAACAAATTTCCAACAAATATGCTGGAAACACAAATGCCAAGAAGAAATCTAAACGTGTGGAACTGAGATGGATGAACTTCAGTGCAAGAGACAATGGGTCTCATTCATGAAACACGAGCAGAACGAATTTTTGTGTAAATCGTGTGTAAAGTGGTTCTGGCGTAAATTTTCGTATTCATTAAAATGTTCGTATTTTCCAAATGTTAGTTGGTACACAAGAAATCTACACCTGCTCCCAGCCACGCGTAAATAGTGCGCTTAACATCCGAATGTTTTGCTCATTAATAACTAAGGCTGCATTTTAATTCACCTTAATCGGGTACATATTTGCACAGCATTTTGAAAAAATATTATATATAGTAATTACATACGGTTTTTCTTATTATGTGAGCCAGTAATAGCATCTGCGATGGGGGTCCTTCTCCAGTTTGAATACTATTTTTCCGAAGTGAACTAATTCGTTTTTTGCTCTCAAGCTTAATGTCGAACCATTTTCTTCTCACTTCTGGGAATGTTCGATTAACAGATGAAACTCCATTAACTGCATCTGTAATATGCTGCCAAGCTTCCTTTTTTTTTTAGGACCCGATACGCCACTATGTACGCTTGAAAATAAAATGTGGTGTTTTGAATGAACTTCTGATAATAAAACTTCAATTTCTGCATCTGAGAATTTTTTTTTTCATTCGCATTCATGTCATAATATGATGCCCATATATAGTTGTCAGTCGGATTTAATGGGCGGGATTTATGGTAATTGAGAATGAGCGTGCACGCGCATCCCATTTACGACTGATTGGAATTCATTAACACACACACACACACACATTTCACTATCACATCTGACGTTTACGAAGTATTTGTGAATCAGGAGAAGAGTTTTCGGGAAGGTCTCTTTAATCACGCGCAAATCACTCGCATATTTACGAATGTTTAATGAATGAGACCCATTGACTTTAAACAAGTTCGGTCTGCAAAAGGTGGTGGAACCAGACATGTCTCTATAGATGTGAAGTCAACAATGAAGGATGTACAGAAAATTGCAGAAGATCTGTTTTTTCCAAATGGTAAATCCAAACATCTGGATCTGAGAAGTGTTGACTGTGACATTCGAGATTTCTCCCATAGAATGATTGAATCAGAATGTACTGTTGGAGATTTGTATAAAGCAAGTAAGGTTAAAATTCTTAGACTTTATCTTTTTACAAAGTGCATTGAAATGGAGAAGACTACAGAACATTCAGTCACACATCCTGAAGCAGATGCCATGTTGAACGAAGGTGCCGAAGATAACCAAGCATCCAACAGCTCTAGCATCAAAGAATCTGAAACAATTGATCTCACATTTTTAGATGATCCACTTAATGTCATGGACCAGCAAATATCAGTCATGCAGACTGATACAATGATCGGTCATATTGAGATGGAGAACAAGGAGGACATCTTCCAAGAACAAATGGTAACACTGAGTCAGGATAGTAGTTTAACTGCTGAAAATGTGAACACAGTGCAAGAAGAATGGAACTTAGAGGCATTGAATACCAATACCACATCACAAAATGCAGAGATTGCAACTTATGTGGAAGACAAACCATTTGAAGAATCATTTGATAATGAGGTCACAATTGGAGGAGGTTCAACGGAGTTTGGGAGTTTGGATGATACAATTCCAATTGAGAATGTGTCAAAGACTGTTATTTTGGTGCGAAGAGGACATGCTCTGTCTGATCTAATGCAAGCTTTCAGTGGCCCAGCAATGATGGACAAAGAGATCAATATTCGAATGAAACTCCCTAATGGACAGATTGAAGAAGGCACTGGGTCAGGTGTTTTTCGCGACTGCTTGACTGAATTCTGGGATGAATTCTATTCCAGGTGTGCTTTGGGTGCAGATGTCAAGGTCCCATTCCTTAGACATGAATTTCAGAGTGATGAATGGAAAGCTATTGCAAGAGTATTGATTAACCCTCTGGGGACCAAGGGGTTTAAGTCTTTTAAGTATTTAAGGGTCTTTTAAGGGTTTAAGTCTTTCAAGTATTTTAAGTCTATGTTGCTGCTACGTGAAAAAAAAACCCCAGCAAAACGCGCCGGCGTGTTCTTGGTCCCCAGAGGATTAAAGGATGGCATGCAGTCAAGTATTTCCCTATACATCTTTCCCTGCCATTCTCGAAGAAGCTTTATATGGTACTGCATATAGCAGTGTCAAAGATTCGTTCATGCACTACATAGCAAAACATGAGCGTGATGTCATTGAAGAGGCAATGGCAAACTTCAATTCAGCTG